TTTTTTTTTTTTCTTTTTTTTTTTTTTAAACCCAGAAATGCTTAAATTTATAAGTATTGCATTGGATTTACATTTAATGATTCACTGCGCATTTTAAGTTTTTCAAAATCTACTGTGGCCCTCTACTCATGTTGTGACAATTAAACTATTACAGCGTGGTAATATTAGTAAATATCTGGATTGCAGGTGATTTAAACACCTTTTCAGTAATTGCGTAACCCTAGGAAGCACTTTAGGCTTTGTTTCTCCACAAAAATACAAAGTAAGAATCATAACTTTTATCCGTCAGAAACAAAAGGGACCACCCCTTGTGGAAAACCTAATTACAGCTTTTATACTAAATTTACCTATATCATACACGGTATATCATTATATTATAGTTGCCATCGTCAACCAAATGTGACGCGCAATGTGCCCTCGAAACCGCATACGCGCTCGGAAATAACAAAACGGGGTGTGACCTTGACCTAGTTCTGTTCCTCGAAAGAAGTTGTCTACTTCAAATGAGGGAATTGTTTGGCAACCCCCAGCCGAATGTGACATGTTAGGTACCCTCGATTCCAAAAATGGTGGGCAAACCTCTTCCTCTTAGCTTCCAAATTCTTTCTGACTCTTGAAATAGGACTCTCCGCTTGAATCAGGAAAATCTGAACTACCTGGAAAAATATCGATACTTGGATGAAAGACGTTAGTTTCGCTGTCCGAGTCCAATACGGACGAGTTAACCATGTGCCCATCATAATCGCTGTCAGACGCGTATGAGTATAATTCAAAATAAAAATGATGAACAATTATTCGTTGATCTATGTCAGCGCCGTCGTTGAATGATTCAATATTTTCGAACCAAAATCTAACCTCTTCGAATGACTCTGCAGAAATCATTTATTTTGCTTTCCAGCTTTCTTTGGATGCAAAAATAGCAGGGTCTTGTTTTGAACATGGCGATATTCCCCAAAACGGAACTTCAACTGGTTATCTACCCGACGAAGCTAGCTACAAGCTAGGTAAACAAACAGTTTACAGCATATTTATAATGACGCACGTCGTGCGTAGTTCCGCCTCTCTAAAATCGAACGCAGGATATTCCTTGGGTATACAGATTGTCATACAATAAAAGCACAAAAATGTTTGGATTTCACCGGTACCACAGATGTATTTCCGATCTTCTATAGGGGGACAGGAGGAGTGGCCTTTTTTCACTGACAGTCCGTGAGATGACAACCTGTACCGAGTTGCAATATTTCTCTCAAATCCCTTGACGTTCATGTGAGTATGAATGTC